AAAAAAAAAAAAAAAAAAAAAAGCAACTATAGGGCCAAAATGCAGTCACTTATGCTAAGCCCCACCAAGATTTAACACCTTACTTAATGTAGTTTCAGCCTCTCCCAGGAGTAAATCTTGAACCAATCAGTCTGGAATTTCCTGGTCTACACTAATATGGTAACTTACCTGGTAAGACCCCCCCTGCCGTCCCCAAGGGAAGATGACTTTGCCTGAAATAATCCACTTTTTTAACTTCCTTATCACACCCTCCTTCTGCCAGTAAAAGCCTTCCATTTTGCACAGCTCCTGGCAGGGCCTTTCAACTTGCTAGGTGGGATGCTGTCAGATTCATGAATCACTGAATAAAGCCGATTAGGTCTTCAAATTCACCCAGCTGAGATTTTCTTTCACAGATTGATGAGGCTATAGGTAAAACCTCTGTAGTCCTGAATCTACGTGGGAAATGCTAACATGAACTTTATCTGAAATTGAAAAAAAAAAAAGCACAACTCCCTAGCTTTGTCCTCTGAAAAGGCCTAGAATCTTATGGCCAAATTATAGTATCTAGATACCATTTTCCACTAAGGTATTAAGCCAGGGCTCATGGAGAGAGCCTCAATCCAAATATACAGGCGGACCTTGGACACACTGCAGGTTCCGTCCAGACCACAGCAATAAAGCGAATATCACAACACAATGAGTCACACGAATTCTGTTGTTTCTCAGAGCATGTCAAAGTTATGTTTAAAGTGTTCAACAGCACTATGTCTAAAAAAACAAGGTACATACCTTAATTTAAAAATACTTTATTGCAAAAAACTGCTAACCATCATCTGAGCCTTCAGCAAGCAGTCATCTTTCTGCTGGTGGAGGGTCTTGCCTCAATGTTGATGGCTGCTGACTGGAGTGGCTATGGCAATTTCTTAATATAAGACAACAGTGAAGTTTACCTTGCCAATTGACCCTTCCTTTCCTGAACAATTTCTCCGTAGCATGCAGTGCTATTTGATAGTACTTAAACCACAGACTCAAATCGGAGTCAATCCTCTCAAACCCTGCTTTATGAACCAAGTTTACATAATATTCTAAGTCCTTTGTTGTCATTTCAACAATCTTCATAGCGTCCTCACCAGGAGTAGATTCCATCTCAAGGAACCACTTTCTTTGCTCATCCATAAGAAGCAACTCCTCATCCATTAAAGTTTTTTCATGAGATTGCAGCAATTCAGCCACATCTTCGGCTCCACTTCTAGTTCCCCTGCTATTTCCACCGCATCTGCAGTGACTTCCTTCACTGAAGTCTTGAACCCCTCAAAGTCATCCATGGGGGTTGGAATCAACTTCTTCCAAACACTTGCTAATGTTGGTATTTTGACTTCGTCCCATGAATCATGAATGTTCTTAATGGCATCTAGAATGTTGAATCCTTTCCAGCAGGTCTGCAGGTTACGCTGCCCAGATCCATCAGAGGAATCACTAGCTATGGCAACTGTAGCCTTATGAAATATATTTCTTAGAGAATAAGACTTGAAAGTCAAAATTACTCCTTGATCCATGGGATGCAGAATGGATACTGTGTTAGCAGGCATGAAAACAACATTAATCTTGCTGTCCATCTCCATCAGAGCTCTTGGGTGACCAGGCGCATTGTCAATGAGCAGTAACATTTTGAAAGGAATCTTTTTTTTGAGACGGTCTCAACAGTGGGCTTAAAATATTTAGTAAACTATGTTGTAAAGAGATGTGCTGTCATCCAGGTTTTGTTGTTCCATTTATAGAGCACAGGCAGAGTAGACTGAGCATAATTCTTAAGGGTCCTAAGAATTTTGGAATGGTAAATGAGCATTGGCTTTAAATTAAAGTCACCAACTGCATTAGCCCCTAATGGCAGTCCTAGGTGGCATCTTCTTCCAACAGAAGGCTGGTGCATGCACGACTTTGATTACCTGTTGTTTACTGTAGCCACCTTCGTGAATGATCTTAACTAGGTCTTAACTAGATCTGGATAACGTGCTGCAGCTTCCACGTCAGCATTTTGCTTCACTTTGCACTCTGATGTCACAGAGATGGCTTCTTTCCTTAAACCTCATGATCCAACCTCTGCTGGCTTCAAACTTTTCTTCTGCAGCTTCCTCACCTCTCAGCCTTCACAGAATTGAAGAGAGTTAGGGCCTTGCCCTGGATCAGGCTGTGGCGTAAGGGAATGTTGTGGCTGGTTTGACCTTCTATCCAAACCACTCAAAAACTTTCTCCACGTGAGCAATAAAGCTGTTTCGCTTTCTTACTCATGTGTTCACTGCTGCAGCACTTTCAATTTCCTTCAAGAACTTGTCCTTTGCCTTCACAACTTGGCTAACTGCTTGGCACAAGAGGCCTCGCTTTCAGCCTATCTCAGCTTTTGACATGCCTTCCCCACTAAGCTTAATCATGTCTAGCTTTTGATTTAAAGCGAGAGACGTGCGACTCTTCCTTTCACTTGAACACTTAGAGGCCACTGTAGGATTAGTAAGTGGCTGACTTTAGATATTATTGTGTCTCAGGGAAGAAAAGAGGCCCAGACATATCATTTCCCTACCCGGCTTGTTCAATAACAACAACAATAAACTACAGGGAATATAAAGATGGAAGCAGAACGTATAGATTCAAAAAAGTCTAGAGATACATCAACCGACTGGATCTCAGTTCACATAGAAGAACATTTTTAGAAATAATAAGACATGTAGGGAA